CACCTAAGCCCCCTCTTGATCCAGCAGTGTGCACTGGACTCTAGGATATCCCGGGACTCCCTCTTCATTTTCTGAGACAGCAGCAGAAGCGATTGGCTCCCACTGCTGTCAGTCACAGCCAGTGAACCAATGAGAAGAGAGATGTAGCGGGGCTGAGCCATGGCTCCATGTGTGAATGGACAAATGGAGCAGCAGGTGTTTGCTGTGGAGGCACCTGACAGGGTTCCGGGGCCAGGAGAGCCTGCGGGAGACCCAAGAAGAGGAGGATCCAGGCTGCTCTGTGCAAAACCACTACACACAGTAGGTAAGTATAGTCATGTTTGTTATTTAAAAAAAAAATGAAAGCCCTTAGTATCACTTTAAATTACGATGTGGTTACTCCATAAAAAACAGTAAATGTTCTATATCTCTCAAAAATAGTCTACCAGACTTCTCCAGAGAAAAGGGAAAAATTACGTTCTCCACATTGGATGGAAATTCTCAGTCAACACTTATTGCAGGTTTGGAATGACTTACATCTTTTATCAGAAAGGTGTAAAATATAGTAGTTTCCAATTCAGGGCCCTGAAAGTTTCACATCCTATCCCCCAGAGGGGTACGGAGAGTTTATACTAATACTCTATGTGGACAATTTACTAAAACTGGAGCACTCAGAATCTGTGCATGGTAGCCAATCTGCTTCTAACTAGTAGCTTGTGCAATTAAGCTTTGGCAATAAATCCTTGAAACTGATTGGTTCCTACGAAGAGCTACACCAGATTTTACACATAGACAGGACACATCAGTACTTCTGCGCTAGAGAGCGGGCCCAAAAATGACAGTTGGCTGTAATCACATCCTGGCTTTTTTGGATAGCTCTCGCCTTGCTGCCCTCACAAGACTGGGGAAGTCTAGGAATACTGTAATCACAAACAAGACAGAGGGCGCACCGGCCTAGTGTATTATCCTTAAAACATGACTTTATTATAAAACAGCTGTAAGTATTATACTCACAAAGATAGCGAGTATCACAAGCTCATCCAATGGAAACAGCACAGTCCAGTTCATCATATTACATGACAAGACAGTAGGACCTCTAACAGGCTGCCGCATTTCTAGGACTAGCCTCGTCTTTAGAGCTGACAGAACTGTTGCCTGCTCCTTGGCTTATATAATGGGGTGTCCTAGCCACTCATTACACCTGGGGGCATCTCCGATCCACCCTGTGGGCCGGGACTATCACCGCATATCCCAGAAAACTTTGCAACATAGGCCTACAGTATACTCATCTACTTGCACTGACCATAGAAAGCACAGATGGCAATAGATGGTGATACTAGAAACATATTATATTGGATAAAATTTAATTAAAATAAATTAAGTAAAATCAAAAGCGTGCAGAGGGGAATATACACAGGATAATACACCTCTGTGATATAAAAAAGCAGATCATGTTCCACACTGGCAGCCCCTCACTTTCTCAAACAGGGGAATATAAATCCTTTTGATGTAGTACTGCTTTTAAATCGATAAGTTTCCTTACTTGCTCTGGTGTGACAGATGCTTGTGCAGTACGCACATTTGTCCTCTGGCTGAACAATGTTATCTCCATAATGCACGTGTTGCTTCCCTGGAACGCATGCCCATGTGGACAGCCCAGAAGTGCGGGCTCCCTGTGCCTTCTAGCTAGTATTGATATGGCATGACTGCTTGGTAACAGTGGAGAGTGCATCCCAGGATGCACCTCTGTGACCGAACTGTCTCGGAATGATCCCCCAGGTCAATCATCCCCCAGCACATAATCATCCCAAGAGCCGGGCAGCAGTTGTTTGAAGTCCCTGGAGGTTGAAGGTGGAAGTGGCATACCTGTGTGGAGAGGATGACTATAGGCCACAATGGTTACCCCCTCCCCCAGTGGTGTCCTAGGGTATTGCACTAATGTACACCATACTCCTCAGAAAAAAATGTTACAGAGGGTAAGAGATACATATTAATATGACATGTACTATACAGTGATGACTCTATAATGTTGGGCTATAGAAAATGTATATTCAGTAGTGGGCCAAAACTGTAAACAGGGATTGTCTATATTACAGGTGTCAAACTGGCGGCCCTCCAGCTGTTGGGGAACTACAAGTCCCATGAAGCATTGCAAGGCTGCCAGTTACAAGCAAGACTCTTACAGGCAGAGACATTATGGGATTTGCAGTTCCCCAACAGCTGGAGGGGCGTCAGTTTGACACCCCTGATCTATATGATTTGTACATGCAACAGAAGGCTTGAAGCAAGATAATATATGCAATATACTCCAAGGTCTAATCAGAGTAATACAAATAGCCTAACAAAATACAGTATCTGGGAACTAGACACCCTCAGTGTATCAGATGCGGAACAGGCAGAAAGCAATAGTATTCACAAATAGCCAGCAACCAATCATCTATATGGTCATCCAGTGCAATCTATGATTGGCAAATGTAATGTCTTGACATAATTGGACAGTTCATAACATGTATTCATAATATAATAATAAAATGAAATAGGATAGTATAGTGTATACTAAGATTATATTGATACCATCCAAAAACAATAATTATGATATGATATTTAAATAATATAAGAAAATTGTTATGTGATATTAACATGATATAATATAACACATGGTGGATTTGATTTAAATCACTAGTGAAAATGCTTGATTTAAATTATAATTTTTAAACAGCAACTGTCATCTCTGTCCCGCAGCGTCTCCTCCTTTGACCCGCTGTTGACTCACCAACAGTCCCATTCACTTTAATGGGACAGTTGGTGATGCGGCAATGACACAACAAGGTGAGTGGCGGCAGCAGGTGAGTGGATGCCCGCTAACAGGCGTTGCCATGATGGATCTTAAATGACAGGTGCTCTTTAAATGTAAGGAATCCGACTCATTCTTGCTGGTAGTTAGAATCTTTAATATTTGCAAACCAAATGAAGGTTTCCTTTTTAGAATAATAAGCTGTCAGGTTAATAATACAACGATATCAGAACAGATTTTAGGTTAATAGGTTAATCACACATAGCTGGAGAACTACCCATATTCTTTTATTACATGTTTTTTCTCATGGTTACTGTGAAATTGTGAGACTGCATCAATGCAGTGCATGTTATCTCAGCTTGCAGAGCTTGGATTCATTGAATGAGTTTATCAAAAATGTAAATATTGCAGAATATACAGCCTCATGCTACATAACTAAGCTTCATTTCATGCTGAATAAACTAAATTATTAAAGTATCTTAAACAGAGAACTATCTTTACATAGATTTTTACTCCAAAAGCATTTTATTAAAATACATTTTGATATTTTACTGCTTTTCTTGTTATCATTAACTAATTCCATACATAGTACTTAGCAACACAAAATAATACTCGGCTCTGTATTTCCTAAAGGAACTATGAGTACTAGGAGGTGGGTAGGAGGTGGTGGAGACAAGAAGTAACTCAGAAGATGGTGTTCCTGTACCTATTCTCTCAGAAATGTCCTGATGATAATAATAACAGTTCGGAAGTTGAAATATCGGTTCAGTCTTTTGATTACGTAATGACGTGCCCCAGCTCCAAAATTCTTACAGCAACAGTTTTTTTTTAAGTATTTTAAACAACTCAACTAGACCTGCATGTGGTGTCACTGCAGTATCCCTGGCTACTTGTCCTAGCATTCACTTGTGTGTTGGAGTTTGGTTGAAACCATAGACTTTCAATGTATCAAACAACTGCTTATTGACTTGCTGTATATAGGTCAATATGCATAGGTTTTAGAGTGCAGAGCAACCAATGCTTGGCTCTACCCTTCAGCAATATAGAATGCTTGGTGGAGTTCCTTTATACCTGTGTATGTAGTCAATGGGGGAGTTTTATGGGAAAAATGAATTTTTCTTCTGTCTCTGACATTTTTCTTCAACATTCCATTCAATGAATATTATGCAGGGCCAGGGGCGGACTGACCATTTGGAAACTCGGGCACTGCCCGAGGGCCCCGGGTAAAGTAGTGGGCCCCATGAGATGCCCCTGGTACCTTTTTCATAGGCTTCTTTGAGTTTGGGCAAGGACACAGGGGCCCCATGATCCCCTATTGCCCGGGGGCCCCATGAATTGTCAGTCCACCCCTGTGCAGGGCCCTTTGGTGATGGCGGGGCCTGTATTTGCAGCCCCCTCTTTCAACTTTGTTGGCCACTGCTTCAAAGTATACAGCTGAGATAAGTAGTATCTGACTAACCTTGCTTGTAATATTCAGCTTTTTGACAGGTTACCTAAAGTTCCTATTCAAATAACAACTTTCTGAGAGCTAATATTTGTATGTCTCCTACCCCACATTTAGCAAAAATATCAAAACTTACACCTAGAGATGGATTTCTCACACACCAACACAGCATTGTGGAGGAGCTGAAGTGCTATTCTCCTTACAGAGATTTTGGGTACTCAATAGGCAGTGTTAGCATGCTGATCAAAACAAGGGTAATATGATCCAACATTTCTTTGCAACATACTATCCACTGATTCCTTTTTTTTAATGCTGCATGATTTTTTTTAAATGATAGGTGACTTTATCAACCTTTCTCTTTGCTTCTGTTAGCCAGAAATTACTAAAGCAGCCCAAAGTTTATGCAATTTTCTTTCCTTTCATCACAGGTGGAAGGAGAAAAAATTGCTCAATTCCTCCATCAACACAGTCAGTGTTGATGGGGGAAACCCACTCACAGCACTATTGTGTTGTGCCTGCGGGAAGCCTTCCATGTTGGCAGAACACAATGATCACTGCTGGTGGTAATAGCCTCCAGGATTGATTGCATGAAAAAAATCGGACAGGCTGGTTGTACTGAAGTTGATCAATGGATTGACATCAGTACAACCAGCGTACCCATACATTGATCGAATCTCGGCTGGTCCCTGCTGAACTGGCCGAGATTCAATCCATCTATGGCTGGCTTAAGATGCGACTAAAGAAATAAAGTTCTTTATCAAACAATATCTGGAAACACTATACTTACTCCTTTTCAATACAGAGCAGGCATTCATTGGCATATGTTATCTTATTACTGCCACACACAGGGTTATAAATTCTTGGGCATCCCATGGATGGATTCACATCACATATAGGCTGTAAAAGACAATGGCTTATAACAATAAAACAATACATGATGCGTTTTATAAACATCTTGGTATTCAAGGGGTATAATTTTTTTCAGCTGGCTCCCTACACCCAACCCCACATCCTCCACCTTTTCTTTGATTAACCACTTACTTACTGGGCACTTTTACCCCCTTCATGCCCAGGCCAATTTTCAGCTTTCAGCACTGTTGCACTTTGAATGACAATTACACGGTCATGCAACATTGTACCCATATGAAATTTTCTTTTCACACAAATAGAGCTTTCTTTTGGTGGTATTTAATTGCTGCTGGGTGCTTTATTTTTTGCACCATAAACAATAAAGAGCAAAACATTTGAAAAAAAAAATGTTTTTCTTTGTTTCTATTATAAAATTTTGCAAACAGGTAATTTTTTTCCTTCACTGATGTGCGTTGATGAGACTGCACTGATAGGCAGCACTGATGGGCACTGATGAGGTGGCACATAGACAGCACTGATGGACGCTGATAGGCTGCACTGATGAGGTGGCACTGATGAGGCACTAATGATGCTGCACTGATATGCAGCAATGATAGCCACTGAGAGGCAGCACTGATGGGCACTGATGAGGTGGCATGGATAGGCAGCACTGATGGGTGCTGATAGGCTGCACTGATGAGGTGGCACTGATGAGGTACTAATGATACTGCAATGATGTGCACCAATGATAGTCACTGATAGGTGGCACTGATAGAAAGCACTGATGGGCGACACTGACAAGCGGTGCTGACTGACGGCACTGCTGGGCGGTACTGATGGGCATTGATGGGTGGCAGTGCTGGGAACTGATGAGCACAACTGCTGCAACTGTGCAGCACTGATGGGTGGCACTGATGGAGGCACAGCTGGGCACTGGTGGGTGGCACTGCTGGGCACTGGTGGGAGGCACTGCTGGGCACCGGTGGGTGGCACTGCTGGGCAGCACTACAGGGCATTGATCATCTGTTCTGTCACATTTGCTGGTTATCAGCAGTACTTTCCTCACACTGTGACAGCGTGAGGAAAGTGCTGCCGATAACTGGCAACAGTATTTGCTTCGTGATTTCCTGTGTCATTAGACACAGCTGATCATGTGGTAAAAGGCTGCTGTGACTGGCCTTTTACTTCTGTGATTGCCCCTGTAGTCTTCTGGGACCTGTCACGTGTCCCAGAAGACTATGGGGAGGGAGGACAATTTCTGCTTTCGATAGCCTAGTGATCGCAGTGGAAGTGGGATCGGGTACCTGTCAAATTAGGGTACCCCCCCGCGCTCCCCAAAGGTGCCAATCTTTAATGGGGAGTGGGGGACAAAGGCTTAAAGCGGAATGTCCCCTTTTGGGTGGAGCTCCACTTTAATGAACCCAGAGTTTAGAGTTCTCAAAATCACTGCTAAAATGCAGGATATAATACAATTGTTTGGGGGTGTTAGGTAATTTTCTACCAAAAATGCAGATTTACAGTCCATACATATTTGGCAGCAGAAAAAATGGCAGAACTGCTGACAGAAAAAGCAGCAGGACCATAGATAAGGAGGTACCACCAGTCCTCATGCATGAAGCCCATGCCAGCAGGGGGACCCAGGCAGCTGGGTGAATTGGATATGCGCAGAGAAGGTGATCGGCATGGTGGGGGGGAATTTACTGGAACCAGTCCCCTGTATGGCTCTCTCTGCAGCAGCTGAAAGCTGTCTTCTTCTCCTCTCACTCCTGCTGGTTTTCAGCTGCTGCTGAGAGAGCCATACAGGGGAGTGGTTCCAGTAATTGCACCCCTGCCACACCCATCATCCTCCCTGTGCACCTTATGTTTCGACTTGCTGCCCAGGCCACCCTGTGTGCCCCTCACCCCTGCAGTGCACCCCTTCTCTTCTCTCCTTTCCAGAGTCAACTGCAAGCACGCTGCAAGCACACAATAGGATCCTCCAGGATGAAAAGTGGACCCTTTGTTTCCTGAATGAACACAATGAGTGATCACTCACTGTGTTCATTCATAACTGAAGCATGGCAAACTTTGTTTTGTTATGGGAGGGGGGCTGTTAGTTTGGCTGTATGGGGCCTTGTGGTTACCAACAGCAGCACCGAAAAGCAGCATAAAAAAACACATGCCTATGAAGTGTATTGTACACACATTTAGGCACATTTTCGCAATGTGGGCTCCAGGCATTTTTTGCCCGAAAGCTCCTCTTAAAAACGCACTTGTGATGTTTTTTTTTCAGCCTGTAAACACTCCTCTACAAATATGACTGTAAATGCCCATATGTGCATGGACACATAGGCTAACATAGAGTTGCCTCTACGCACTGAAAGAAAAAACGCCAAATGCCTGTGAAAGCAGAATTTTTTTATGCCCAGTGTGCATGAGGCTAAGTCTGGTATGTGGAAAAAAAAGAAAAATGTCCTGGTAGAAAAGAAGTCAAATGCATAAGATACAATGCTCAAAGAGATCTAAACAGACACTCAGGGGCTATACACTGTCCCCCCTTTAATGCAACAGTGTTTAAGTTACCTCTCTTTCTTCACCAGAAGTAGGCTCAGTGTTCACAGGATCTGAAAGGTAAAAATAAATAATTATATTTCCATTCTGGATTATGACTAAAGTTGACTATGAAGTTAAGGAAGGTGATATTTAGTGGTTTTTAAAGTGGACCTTGTATTCCATGCAAGGTCCACTTTTTAAATGTGCCCCCTTCCCCTTCAATTGTTTGATTACTGTTCCAGAGGCAAGTCTAATAGAATGTAATTATGCAGATAATGAGCATCCTGCATATCTATAGTCACAGCATACAGTGGCCAGCTCCCTTACTGGAACATGCACCTCTAAACAGTTCTGGATTTATAAGGCAGCAAAAGGGGCAACTGCCCTGGGCCCCTTGACTGAATCCTCCACCCTATATAAAAAATAACATAAAATAATAAAAATCAAATAAATGTAAGTAAAAAAATGAATGTGTCTTGGGAAGTAATACATGACATAACTGTCACAAAGTTATGCATCAAGTGCCTGATTCGCTTTGTGTTTCTCTCATCTATGTATTCATTGTGACAGTTATGTCATGTGTTACCGCCATATTTTGTGCTTAGGTGTTCTTTTTAACATTTTGTATAAATAAAATATGGTGTATTAAGTTTTCATTTTTTTCTATGAAGTTATTGGTTCTGCCTGTGCCTTTAAAATCCCACAAAAAGAGGATCTTTCCATATAGTCATTGATAATGTAAACCAACTCTGAAAATTAATTGCCCTGGGCTCCTCAAGGGCTAAATCTGGCCGTACATAGAAAAGGGTTTCCAGAGATGTGTTCACTTTTGCAATCAGCAAAAAAGCTATTTTTTTTATTGCTTAATGTAATGAATTTGACTTTAGTACTCCTATTATCTCCTAAACAGCCTTTGCAGAACAGAATCTGCTGCTAGAAACTAAACTGCACTTACATTACAGTTTTAGTGAAGAGGTTCGCAGTAGGGAAGGGGACATATCTGAGTTGCACTGGGTGATGACAAGGAGCCCTGAACTACATTTACCCAATGCAGAATCTGTTGCAGTGATCGAGTACACACAATGTCATTTAGCACACATGTTTTGTTGGTGACTTCAGAGGAGCTTTACGTTTTTTCTAAAACGTAATCTCTATATAACCTGTTAAATCACCTTGACATAAGTTAGCAATAATAATAAGCAGCCAGACTCTGAGATAGTTGCATTGCCTATTCAGTCAAATGTAACATTTTACAGAATTATACATTACATGACACACTACAGTAAAGTAAAATATGGCTCACCAAATAACAGACAAATAAAAGCCATTGCCAAGATGGAGAGGAATGCGAAAAACTTCATGTTCGCTGTAGGTTTTCTTAATTGAGATGTTAGGAAATCACTCAGTCGTGCCTATGTGACAGTTTTCCACAGATTATGCCAAGTGCACAGATCATCATCATATATAGCTCCCCATATCTGTAGTCCTGTTATTCAAGTTAATTAATAACTGAGAGAAAATGACATGATTAGTAGCACAGTATAAACATTCCGCAGTGCGAAGCCGGATGCAAAACAAAAAACAAATTATAAAAGAACACTAATTTCACATATCATGAAAAGACCTTACCGCCTGCCAAATTGCCTACTCCTTTATCAATTTGAGATGAGGGACTGTAGTTCCTGCCAGCTGTTTTAGATGCAAATTAGTTAAACACTCACTTCAAGATAGGTAAATAGCAAAGCTTCTGAATAGAGTTTGTTCCAATCTCACATTACTAATAAGGCAAGAGACAGTATACTTATAGATTGTATAGATATATATTGCACTATTATTCCATTTGTGGTTTTGTATACTATCCCTGTTTCACCAATAACAGTTTAGAATTATTGTGGACCCTGTTTTAAAACTTATATTGTAAAGCGCTGCGCAAACTATTGCCACTATATAAATCCTGAATAATAATAATAATAATAATAAAATGAACCATTTACTTATAATGATTGAAATTAATCAGGGGATGGTACAACAAAAATTTCAAAGAGGAGTATGGCCAGTGGCAACCCGAGGCAGGTGCAAGGGGTGCGGTCCGCACGGGGTGACACCGACCGCACGGGGTGACACCGACCGCACGGGGTGACACTGGACCCGCTCCAGAAGAAGATAAGTTGTAAAGCAAGCCGACGATCCCTGCAGGATGGATCCAATCCATCCTGCGGGGATCACCGGCTTTCTTTACAACTTACTTTTTCTTGGAGCGGGTCCGTTGTCACCCCGTATAGGTTGCATGCCGACGATCCTGCGGGGATCGTCGGCATGCAACCTATACGGGGGGTGACACCGGTGTAGTGGCAAGATGTGTCTCCCATGTAGATATGTCCCCCCTGAAGCAAATTGGCACAGAAGGGGTTACTTCACCAAAGGTACATGGTTGGATACAGTACTATCATTGATCATGCCTGAAACCGGGAAAAGCGCAGTTGCTTCAGGGG